CTGGCTTGTGGAATGTCCGGACTGTCTTGTTCCTTGTTGCAGGAGAATCTGGTGAAGTCCTGCCTCTGTCCAGCCCCCCAGAACACCTGCTGCAGCTCAAAGCAAAGGTAAGAGGACCTGGGATCCCTTATCCCTCAGGTTGCTCTCGTTAGGTTGCTTTCGCCTCGTCCTTTGCTGTTTCTGTTGGCCAAGGACTGCCAGGAAGACGATCGTGTGCATCCAGTTCTATCCAGCATCAGCTGAAAACGTTTCTGTACCTGTTATGGCTGTGGTTTTAAATGATGATTCACAGCTTCTAGCTGTCCAGATTTTTTTGGGGGGGGGTGATGCCCAGAAACCTCTTTTAGGAATCCAAGGAGTTAAAATCCAGAAGATCTGAAGTTACCCTGATTTGGAAGTCAGTCCAAATCATGGAGATTTACTGACATATTGACATGGTTGAATCCTCAGAAAATGACACAGGAGTGAGAATGTGCCCACGTTCCATGTGTTCCTGGCTTAGCCCCCCCCCCGTGCCTTTTCCGGGGACTCCCGTTCAGCTCCTCAGCTCGTCCGGCTTTCTTTCTAGGGCCCCGAGCACATCAGCAGCAGTGGTGTCTCCCCCTGTGGCAGCTGGATCGCCTACTCCACAGCTTCCAGGTTCTGCCTGCACCGCCTCCAGTTCAACGGGGACCAGATTGCCCTCAAAAGGGTGAGTGGGGATTCGGTGCAAGGTTGGGCGGGTGGCTTCTTTGCGACCGCATTGGGTTAGGTGTAGAAGTCTTCATAGGGTGCCACAGGCGTGTGGAAGACCATCCTGGCTGTGCGGGAACCTCCTCTGAGGTCTCGGAGCACCAGCATGTTATAGTGGCTAATGGGTTGAGAGACCTGGGTTCAAATCCCCACTCAGCCCTAGGACTTACTGGGTGACCTTGGAGCAGTCAGACTCTTGTCCACCACTTTGGGTTTGCTGGAGGAAATGTGAGCGATACCGGCAGCTGAATCGTAAAAGAATGGGTCGTGGTGACCCTTGACCTCTCCTTGCTTTCCCAAAAGGTTCCAAATACTCCCAAGCTGCTCCGCTCCGCTCACCATCTCCTTTATTCCACGGACTCCACCAAGCTCTTTGTGGCTTCAGACTGTGGCTCTGTGCATGTTCTTAAACTTTTACCGTCGGGGACTTGCAAACACCTGCACACACTGCGTCCAAATTCAGGTAAACCGAGAGGTTGGCAGACTTTAAAAAATACCCAACGGACAAATATTGACAGCAGATCCCAAAGCAAAGTATAGTAAGCAGGCAAAGGCAAAGGAAAGGAGCCTGTATTTTGTTCTCTTAGAGAAACTTAAGTTTCCAAACCATCTTCATAAGGGAGTTGCAAATGGAAAGTGCAGATTCACCTGCTAATTTTTTTCCCATTTCAATTCCGTTTGCTAAAAGCCGGAATGTTGATTGTGCAGCTGGAAAAAAATGGGGAGAAGCTCGTGTTTGAAGTGTAGTCGTACCTCTTCATCACCCCAGGAGATCGGGCGAGCGGGAGGGCTTATCTCAGCTATTTCTATGATAATTTCACATGGTCCCTCTCTTCTCCTAGAGACGAGAGACGCCGTATACCTGTTGGCGGTGAGCGCCGACGGTGAGTGGTTGGCCGCGGCTAGCGGAGATCGGGAGATCAACGTTTACAACTTGAAGGACGCCAAGGTCAGCCGAGCAGCACTTCCAAGGGAGGGAAAGCCAAACTTTAATAAGGATCCTTCTTCTTGGTCTTAATAAGTTAGCCATGGGTTGGGTTCTTTGGGTTAAATCCAGCTGCCAGGCCCAGCGGGTGTAGCTCCATGGAATGAATGAGGACTTGTTGGTACGTCTACACTTCTGTCAGTTCCGCGGATGCCCTGGGTCTACTCAAGATGAAACTAGCCACTTGAAGCCTTTGGCTGGATCGAGGCCTTGCATCCATGCCTCAGGGCTATCCGAGCTCCTTGTTTTGGAAGGGAACGGCTTCTGCTCCTCTCCTGCTCCCGGGCTTCCAAGAGGGGAACTGTCATCAACATCACCATCTTGGGAGGGCAGAGCTGGAAGGGACCCTCTGGGTCATCCAGTCCATCCCGTGTCAAGGAGGCCCCGTGGGGAAATCAAGCCCCCAACCTCTGGTGCTGCAGCCAGGTGCCTCAACCCCTGCGGGGCTCCTTGTCATTGTTAAGGATGCAACGTTGGCTAACGGGAGGGGGCGCCTGCATCCCTGGGGGGTGTCAGTGGAGTTGGGGGAGGGAGCAGGGCGCCTCCTTCTCTCCAGCAGCATCTTGTATCTCCTCCCTGTCCAGTTCCATTGCACGCTGCCTGCCTACGACTGCCCTGTGACTGCCCTGGCCATTCACCCGGGGACCAACGACCTGGTCGTCGCCCACTCGGACCAGCAGGTGAGTTGTTTTTTCATAGCCAGCCTCTCGGAACACAAGAGCTACAGCTCTTTCAGGGAGGGAGAGGGAAGAGGAAGACTTCATGCCCTCTGCCTGTGCAGAGTTTTTATTTTTCTCCTGCTCTTGCTGTTGGGCCCTGTTGCACGATGGCAGGGTCGGCGATCTTGCTTCTGGTGCAAGGGATGGGATTCCTTCTCGCAGCCGTGAGCAATCAATTGCTCTCACGGCTTACATCTCCCGGAAGGCAAAGTACAGTAACACGTCCGAGCTTCGCTTTGGATAGCCGGTTGGCCAGCTGTGCCAGTCCTGGATTCGAGACAGAGGCGNNGGGGGGGGGGGGGCTTCTTTGTACATAACTTGGCTGCTCTCAAACCAGGACTTTATGTATTCCACAAAGGCTCTGAGCCCAGTGTTCTCCTGGAGGTGGGAGGCAGGGCTCCATTGTCATTTTCCTTCACGTTTCTAGTCCTTATGGATTTGGGTTCTTCTGCTTCTAGGAAAGGGCTTGAAGTGTGAGACACAGACAAGGGCAGGAGGGGAGGGGGAGCTCTATCTCCGTGGAGCCACGCCAACCCTTCTCCACCTTGCTGCTTCTGTCCTCCCCAGGTGTTTGAGTTCAGCATCACAGAGAAGGAATACACAGCCTGGAGCCGGAAGCTCCAGCAGCTTGGCCTGCACAAGGACTGGCTTCAGCGGGACACGCCCATCACCCACATCACCTTCCACCCCAAGAAGGCCTCCTACCTCCTCCTCCACGACACCCACATGTTCTGCATCGTCGACAAGTCCTTGGTAAGCCCTTGTCCAGGGCCATGCCGTCCCAGGCTTTTCTGCTGCCGGAGGCAGGAAGAGACGCCCCGTCCCACTCACTCAGGCCCCACCAGATCTTCCCAGTCTTTCTAACACTTTGTTTAATGACCTGATTATTCTTTTCAGCCACTGCCAGAGGACACTGCTATCCTGCACAACCAGATCTCCCTGGCCCAGATGTCTAAAGCCGCCCGGCGCACCTATGGCCACGCCTTTAAGATCTGCAAGAAGTACCAGGTGGGTCTCCTGAGCATGTGCAGAGGGCTGCTGCTCTGTAGAGCGGGAGAGGACATTTGTCCTTTTGTCAATGTACCGTTAATTAGCATGAATCAGGTGCAGGAGCAGGTGATGCCTTTACCTGGCCGTTAACCAGGTAGAACTAAAAAAGCAAAAACCTAACAGTGAGCTTTCAATGATGAATCAGCTTCTTCAAGGCTGTGCATCAAGTTCTTCTGGGCAGTTCCAAACTTCTGTGCTGTTATTCATGTCCCAAATTCACCCGGCGGATGGTGTTGAGGCCAGGGGGAGCTTCTTAGATGGGAATAGCTGCAGTAGGCATGTTGGTTTCAAGCTTCTCCTCAGCTAGCAGTTTGGAACTCCACAACTGTGCAGACTTTTCCTGATTTTAGCATCATTCCGGTGATTCTTAAGTAAGAGGGGAATGCACGCACGCACGCACACATGGACACATCTCTTGGCTTTACTTTGCATGAAAAGCAGTAGTTCTGAAGAGGGGAATCCCTGCTGTCGGTGCAAAGATAGAAAGTGGCCCCGTGATCCATTCATAGAAATGGAGTCCCAGCGGGTAGGCAAAAAAGACACCTTGCAAAACTCAACAGCCCATCTTATTTGTAACTTTATGGGAATCACTGGAGCGATTCCCATAAAGATCTTGCCCAGCCACGTAATTTGTAAGCTCTCCAGGTGGGCCAACGTGTCAGAGGAGAACCATTCTGTCTTCTCTCAGGAGCCTCCAGAGGTGGAGGTGCCTCTACATTCTGGTTCCCTTCCTTCCTGCGTAAGGCGTCTCAGTGAGTTGGGGTGCTTGGCCGCAGAGCCAAACAGCAGAAGTTTGGTTGTTCCCCAAATAAGACCAGGGAGAAGAGCCAGGCGCCGTGGGTGACCTTGGACAAGCTGCCCAGTCCCGGGTCACCTTCAGAAGAAGGGAGTGGAAAACATTTCTTCTGAGTAATCGCTGTACCGGGGAAGCCTTGGCAAGGGTTGCCCTTAAAGGAGAACTGGCTGGAGGACACAAGGTTTATTATTATAAAGTCATGACCAAGTGGTGGCGGGGAGTAAAAGCGCTCCTCTCCTGGAGTGTTAAGTAAACACACTTAAGAACGCTTGAGCAGGGCTTAATTAATGCAGGATGAGGAAGCAGCCATGATCTTAGTTGGATTTAAAGCTGGATTAGAGCAATCCAGGAAGGGGCATCAGGGAACAGCGGATTGGGGGGAAAAACACCCCATGCACTTTGTCTCTCTCCCACCCCAACCTAACCCACACAACAAGGAAAGAGGGAGCACAGCCAACCAGTTAGTATCTGGGCACCCGAGCAGGGTGGAAATATGGAGGGGGCACTGCGTGGCTTCCTCACTTAGGCAGTGGTGCCGCTTTCTCTGCTGCCTAACCATTCAAGTCTTCTCTGGGATGAGGAAGGAAAACTGGGCTGGGATTAAGCTGGCTGCAGGGTTTGTTGAAAGGGCAGTTCCCCCCCCCCCCGGGATCCAGGACCCTCCGGAAATGCAGAATTGAACAGGGAGGGAGGATGGCCGGGAATGCTACATCCCTTGCTTTGCTTTCAAGCCGGAGGCCCCTGCGAAGGAGCAGGAGCAAGGGGGAAGGACCAGAGGCTTTCAGCCGGGAAGATGATTAAATGGACCCCTCGGGTAGCCAATGGAAGCCCAGCGGCAGGAGAAGGCGGTGGCCTCCGGGACCCGCTTTTGGGCTCCTCGGAGGCACCTGGTGAGCCACCATGAGGAATGGGGTGATGGGAGGAGAATGGGTCTCGGAGGGCTTCTCTTCAGACTTTGTGTACACGAGGCCAGGAGGGACAGCCTCCCAGGGAAGTCCCAGGCCCGAAACCTGGGCAACAGTTGAGATTGCCCCTTTGCCTCCAGGATCTTTGGACAGTGGAGGATTCCCATCCTGAAAGAGAATTCCATGTACCTCAAAATGCGAGCATGGGGGCATTGTTCCCGCGATTCCCATCCTGAAAGAGAATTCCATGTACAGTACCTCGAAATGCGAGCATGGGGGCATTGTTCCCACATCAGTGGCTGGCAGAATCTGGGCCTGCGCGTCCCAAAGAGGAATTTCTCTAAGCTGTGCCAAAACCTTTAGGCAGCCAGCATTGGGGAGAAGATCGGGGGGGGCAAGTTGAAAGCGAGGCTCCCCAGCAGGCAAGCCCTGCTTCTGCTCACCGCCTTTGCTCCTTTGTTCTCTCCCACCACCAGCCTCTGCTTTTCGTGGACCTCTTGGACGAGAACTCCTTGGTGGTGGTGGAGCGCTCCGTGGCGGACATCAAAGCCCAGCTGCCCCCTCCTGTCTATCAGAAGAAATTCGGGACGTAGCCGAGAAGATGCTTTCCTCAACCCTTGGCTGTTCGGTGTAAACAGGGACCCTGCAGAAGAACTATGAGGTTTCGGGTTTTTAAACCATCCCCTCCCCACCGGGGTGTCGCTGGGGTTCTGGCAGGCTGAAGGCCTCCACCGCTCCTCCAGAGCGGGCACGGGAGAGGCGAGCCCACCTCAGCCATTCCTGGGAACCTGGCCAGCTCCCACGGCCAGCCCGCTTCGAGCGATCTTCCTCCTCCTCGGTGCCCTTGAGCGTGGGTCTCTCCCTCCCTGGCGTTTATCAGTCTGGGGGAGGTTCATGTTGACCTTGAGCTCTTGGCTGGAATGATTATCCCACCGCTGAGGTGCTGGCGGCTAAAGACTCAAATCCTGAGCAAGAGGCCCCCATCTAGGGAAGAGACCAGCAGGAAGGAAAGGTTATCTGTCTTTGGACAGATTTCTTTCTTTCCTAAGAAATCATAATAAAGTAGCCAGCGTCTGTTATCATGTGTTTATCTTTACGTTCAGTCCATATCAAGTACCTTATTTTTTTCCACTCACAAGGCTGGTGTAAGGTGGACCCGTGTGGTTGCAGATGGGGGGGGGGGCTAATGGTGTAAGAGGGAGGCTTTCTGACCTGGTCTTTTCAGGATTCAAACAAGACCAGAACTGGGGGCTTCCCAATGGGGGCGGTGGGGGCAGGAGCCCAGCCACACAGCATTTGCCGCGCAAGGACTGAGGAGGTCTGCCCGGCCTTTCTTAGCTGGCACTCTGCCCAGGCTTTCTCTCCAGCCGGGCCACTGGGTGCTGTCACCCACTCCTGCCCGCCGCTGGCTGCACTTTCCAAGCAGTTTCTCCTACAACTCTTGGTGAACCAGACTGGCAGGTTTTGGCCCCATTGCGCAGAAAAGAAGGACCCGCTCCCCGACCTTGCCTTCTGCAGGGAGAAGTGGAAGGGAGGGGTGACGATCCCACATTTCCAGGGTGAGAAGGCAGCTGCTGCGGGACCTTTGTGTTTTAAAGAAGTTTGGAGTTTCAGAAGATCGTAGCAACACCCTTTTTCATAACTACCTTGTGCTAGCTGCTTGCATAGATTTATGCATAGCCTTAACTTTTGGGGACCGGGGACTAACACAGTACCAGAGATACTCATGCTCTCTAGTGAATAGAGTGGTGGACCAGGACTCAGGAGGCCTGGGTTCGAATCCCTGCTCAGCCATGGAAGCTCACGGGGGAAATGGAACTGGTGAAGCCGGTTCTGACTTGAGGGCACATAACTAACTAACACAGGATCCCAAGGCAAACCATTCAAGTAAAGCAACGCCTCTTATGTTCGAATTGCTGAATTCTCAGTACAAGAGCATTATGCTTTATAAATATTTTAATTAAAGCTCTTTAAATACAGTGGCAAAGCTTGTTTTCAACCTCACCAGGGCAGAGAATGAGCCTAATTAAAAGTAGGAAAAACAGCCAAGGTGGATTAGAACAGCTTCTGCCATCTCGTTGTGCTTGACAAGGCTAAATATCCCTTCAGAGGGAGGCCAGAGTTCTTTTCCTCTTGCACACAGGGAGCCAAAGCCCCGACGGCACAAAAGGCCCTTCAGTGGAAGTGGCCAAGACGATCCTTGAACCCGGACTGGCCTGGGCAAAGTCTTGTATTTGCTGAGGCCCAGGGTGAGCACCTGGAGGAAGCCATTCCATGAGTCGACACCTGCTTGGAACCCAACCCTGTCGTCTTGGCAGGTGAGAGGATGATAAAATCTGCATCCACAGTGCTTACAGGAAAATATTTAGATTCAGCAAGGGAATTGACGGCCGAGAGTGGAAAGAATATGCGGGGGCGTTTCAGACGATTTCCAGTGAAATAACTGTACAGCTCTATTGCAGCAAAAATTAAGTTCATGTGTTGCCTTAAGAACTTAATTAGGATGGCAGGAACTTTGGTGCACTGCCTGCTTCTGGAGATAAGGGTGGATTGCGGTCCATGAAAACAAATGCCATAATAAATTTGCCCATCATCAAAATGCCACAGGGCTCTGTTACTTTAATCAAGTAATCCGATAAAGGTGTTTATTGAACTCTGGTTTTGGATTTTGCTGAGGGATTGCACAGTTGAGCGCTCTCTTTTTTTGTTCCAAATGGTCACAAACATAATTTGCATTTGGGGGGTGATGGGGAACAGGTTTCTGAGGAACTGGAAGGATGACTGAGCAGGATGTGGTGGTTACAGTGTCGGATTAGGACCCTGGAGGACCGGGTTCAACTCTTCACTCCGCCATGAAGTTGGCTGCATGGCCTTGGGCGAGTCTCCCACATGGCCAAGAACATCTGGGTGACCCAAGGTTGGGAACCACAGCAGTAGTAAAGGAGTAGGCATTGATGGTGTGGGAGTAGCAAAGAATCTTGAAGCTGGGTGCCTGCTCTAATCAAACCTTGCCTCCTGGCACCATTCTGTCTCAGGAATCTGCAGCCTTCGCTTCCCTTTTTCCTCATCCTTTTCTGACACAAGAACTGGGCATGGCAGGCTGGTCTTTCCAGCCAAACCTGAAAGAAGGGCAGCTTATCTTTGCTGTTGTTCTCAGTGTGACCAAACAGAAGCTTTGGCTCTTCCTGCAACAGGCGACAACCTTTCCGGTCTCCAAGCAGCTGCAAAGAGTTTGCCTTTCCCCTTGCTTAAAGGAGATGTCCTCAAGAGCCCGGCTCACTGTCCGATTACATATGCTCGCGTTAAAAATAGCCGTTCTCCTCTTGAGGATCAGCAGCAAAGCCCAAGCCTGGAGTGGGACTTCGGGCCATGAAAGGCAAGCGAGGGCTCGACTCCCTTTGTGGGGAACCGCCAGTCCCATTAACGTTGCACAGTCGGGTTGGGGGTGGGTGGGAGTTGGCTGTTGGCTCCAATCCATCCGTCTTCTCCCGCTAGAAATCCTTGCTCCAGGCTTGGCTTATCGGGTATGTGCGCTTCAAGCTTGCAAAATCCTCTCTTAATCTGAGCTGTTTTTTTCCTTGAGTGGAAAGATGCAGAAAGCGAGCAGAAGCAATTCGGAAATAAATGCAACCTGACAAAAAACCTGTGCCCGCAAGAAGTATAGCAGGGATGGGAGAAAAGAGTTACGTTCCAAGAAGCAGGAAGGAAGACCTAAGAGGGTTGAAAGCGGGTGCTGGTCTTTAGGCTCCAAATATGCCCTTCCTCCTATCCTGCAGCAGAGCTTTTAACACAGTAACCTCTAAGCAAACAGCCCTCCAGATGTTGCACTACAAGGCCCATCATTCCTGACCACGGTGCCCATATAAGCTGGCGGGTGATGGGGGTTGGAGTCCAGCAACCTCTGGATGGCAGGAAAATTCTTCACCCCTGCTCCCACCAACTGCAGCGGGACTAGTTCCACACCACTCTAGGTCGCATGCTCTCAAGCCCCTCTTGTCCACACCGGGTTTTCATGATGAAATATTTTGCAGCTGGTGTTCTAACTTTTTTTGTGGCTGTATCTGGTTGTCTCTAAACCATTTTGTGCCACACTGAGACAGCCGTGTTGTGCACCCATATGCTTCCTACGTATAAAACATAGGAAGAGATATCTTAAAACCCACTGCACTTCTGTAGTCTTGACCTGGAAGGGATGCCTTGAGTGCCAGCTAAGAGCTGGTGCCTGCAATTTCCTTTTCCCTCTTCATCCTTCTTTCCTCTTGGGTTATCTCGGTTCCATTGGGTGCCTGCCAGAAGGGACTGCCTTTTTTTTTCCTTTATTTTATGGAGGCTCTGTGGTCATTTCGTCCAGGGTCCTCTCTTGAACCAGAAGGCAGATGCTGCCCCGGTTTGGTTCCGCTGGCTATGAAGTAATCCGCAGTAATTCATCCGAAGTAGTCAAACCTGGAGGAACAACGCCATCCGCGTGGCAAACTCTCCTCTCGCTCCGCCCCCGCAACGCCTGTGGGCGGAGCGAAGCAGCGAGCTGCCCTATCCCGTCAAGGCAGGCGGTCCTAGAAAAATTTGCCTGGCCACGCCCCCTTGAGCCGGGCAGCGACGCCACCATAGACTTAAAATAGAGGAGTCCACAGGCATTAACTTCCGACCCTTTTCCATCCCTTTCCCGCCCCCGCGGGAGTAAAAGGAATGCCTCGGATTTTTTTTTTCAAAGGCCAGCTGGAAAGTGGTGGTGAAGGCAGGAATGACTGTTGTCAGCCGGCATCATCTGCTCCTGTGCGCGAACATTTGCAAGAAGTTGTTGCCCAGCCAAAATGCAAATGCAAACAAAACTATGGACGAAGCAAAGCACTGGATCCCGGTTAGCCCTAATTGCACTGATCAGAAAAGGGGGGGGGGGGGGGGCACACGGCAACTCTGAAATAA